GAGGAAAGGGTTCTGAGAGCCTTGGAAGTGATATTCGTGATCACCGCGAAATTCTCTATCGAATGGTGTATGAAGTGTCGAAAAATAAATTTCACTGCAAGGCTGCCCTGGGTGCATCTTACCTTAAATAATGATTTTGTTTCAAGTGCTGTTCAGTTTCTTTTATAGAGCTGACTTCTGGTTGCTCCCGCATTGTTAAAAATTGCAGTTGAACAGACTTGAAGAACGAAAAGAAATTTCATAATTTTAGACTTCTAGTGTAAACTCTCTCAGAAGTTGCTGAACACTTTCGAACCATGTACGAGCAAAGTCGTGAAGAAAAATAACATCGTAAAATTAAGTTATTTTTTCGGTGTTACTTATATAGATGCATAAGAACAAAATAAAACGGTGCATGAAAGTAGAGGCATCAAATCTTATTCAAATCTTAAATAAGATATTAGATCAACTTGTTAAGATCTTAAAACGTAAGATCTCACACGATCTTAGTAAGATAATTTTATGAAGTGGCGAAGATTTTCACTAGAGATGGTAGATATACCAAATAGGGAAGATGATGATTGTTTCTAAATTCATAGTTCGAAACAACAGGTCGTTCAATAATAATTATTTCATTTGTCGACAATGGCTCACCGATACTGCAGTGGTCCTCTTTTTCAACGAATTGTCCTCCTTTTTCTGACAAAATATGAAAATACGATAAAAGAAGCCGTTATTTTGCTTTTGTATGTCTCATTTATTTGTTTTGATGACACATTAGAGAACAATGATTATTTTGGTGTGAATAAACAAGTGGGAATTGCATATCAAAACCTTTGTTTTTAGGTTATATGCGATCTGATTACTCTGCTTTCGTCTTGAATATTTAGTATTTTTAATTATAGTCGTGAGAGTGATTTCTTTAATAAAATAAATAGTGACTTTTCTATTTTTGCTTTTGTGTGAATACCCTAGTCGAGACTCCTGATTAATCTCCCGCAGGAGTCCTGAAAAAAAAGTCCTACAGGAGTCCTGTCACGGGGCCTCTGTGGATCCTCTGTGGAGTCATGGAGGGTTTTTAAGGGATTCCTCAAGACTTCCATGGGAGTTCTATGGGATTCTTAAGGAAGTTCCTGGGGAGTTCTCGGAGATTTTCGAGAGAGTCCTTGGGGACTCCCTGTGGGTCTATTGATTCATCTTCTTAATTTCATGTAACTAATTAGTAATTAAGTGCCAGATACTATCACTGGTACCGCTGGAGTACATATCACCCATCGAAGGTTGACACACTAATGTTGACTTACTAGAAGAAAATTTTTAAAATTTTACCATAGAACTACATTATATTTATATATTGCCTATCTGCAAAACAAACGATGAATGGGGAGTTGGGAGGGACTCCTCGGGGATTGCACAGGTTGGGGAGTGTAAGGGTGACTCCCGGGGAGTACACATTTCTAGGGACTCTTGACAAACTTTCTCTTATGGGAGTCATAAGAAAAACATTCTGCTCTCTGAGGAGTTCTGTAGGAGTCCATGCATGACTTTCTCCAACAGGACTCTCGACAGGACTCCTGCAAGAATTTTTTGGGGACTCCTCGTGTCTCCATGTTAGACTTTTCACTTTAGAAAGTTCCTGCGAGAGTCACCAGGACTTTCTTTTTTTAATGTTCGCTAATTAACGAATTCCTCTTCTTTTAAATCCGTCTAGGAAAAATTCTGTATCTCTCTATAAATCTTTTTTTTCGAAGTTTCAAAGTTTCGCTGTAGACACCAGATAACTCGTAGTACCCTTGACTATTTGGTAATTTTCTATCAATTATCGGATCCAATTTTAACTGATTGCTAGATTTTCTTTATTGTATAGCAATAAATTAAATGATTGGTTGAAATATAAATATAAAGGCTATTGTTTATGTTAATAAATATGTTAACGATAATCTTAGAATCTTGCTCTCTCACTCTTATCGCTATAGATAAAATCGTATATAGTAGGCAACCGATCGTCAACATAGTTACCAGATCATGATTTTGAAGTATTACCAGGTTAAACAAATCGTATATGATTGTATCTGAACCAGACAAAATCGCATCAAATCGTATGAGAATCATATATGAATCGTGGTATCTGATTTGTCCTCTGGATCGTATAATACGATCGTACAAGGGCATATACAATCATATAACGTCGTATGAAATCGTATAGTACGAACCAGATGACAAATCAGATACCACGATTCGTATGTTAATCGTACATAATCGTATATGATTTCGTATGATCGGATAATACGATTCAATCATCTGAGTTTTTATTTTTCAATATCAATATCTATGATCTAGGAAATATAGAACAACCTGATTTAGTTAACACACTCTATATCATACAAATCGCTCTATTTGTTAACACTTGCGTACATTTCATACTTTAAATACTCACTCTAGTGAAAGTACTCACGTGATATCATGTGCGTGAGTATTAAAACGTACTCTGTTGGAAAAACCGGACGAGTACTCATACATTTTGAGTACTCATGAGTGCATAATGAGTACTATGGGGACGATTTTGAGCAGTCATGCTTGAGTATTGTTGAGTACGCATATAACTTTTGGCAAAATACTCATCAGCATTGTTCATCTGATATTTTCATATAGAAGAGCGATCTCAGACAGTTAGAGTTGGACTAAAAGTCCATTCACAGACGAGTCCATTTCTGACTATATACAAAGAGCAGAGCAAGAAAAAATGCCGCCGCCGCCACAGCCGCTTTTAACGTTATTATCTCTTTTGGGACCAAGTTTCTTTACTAAATTCTACGTTCTTTATCTAGTTTCATTTTTGCAAAACAAAATGGTAAATGAATATTTTCTGACTACTTACATGAGTAACTGAGTACTCACTGATTAAAAATACTCAAAAGTTGTTAGTAGAACTCATATGAGTACTCATGGACGAATTATGAATAAAGCGTACTCATAGTATGAGTACTTTCACTAGGGCAATCTAATTTTGTTTTTAGAAATCTATCACATAGGAAATACAAATGAAGGATCGGTTTTTACAGTATAGAGCGTAGTTCGCTTGTGTGAATATCTCTCTGTAGAAAATTGATGTTATATTTTTTGCCATTTAAGATTAGAATGATTAATCAAATTTGTCCTCACTCTTATTCTAATGCAGAAAAGTTTAAACCAAACGAAATATCAAGAGTGATTGATTAATGCATTCATTATACAATATAAAAACATCAAAATAGTGTTATGGTTATTGAATAAGAACTATACACTAACGTGATCAGTGAGGCGTGTAGAAGTTGTTCGTTATCCTCAAAAAGTGCAAATTTGATACTATCTATCTTAGACCAATTTTTTTTTTCAGTTTATAGATACATTATTAGTCATTTGACTTTTCTCGACAATGTTAAATTTGAGAAAACAGCAATAAGAGTTTGATGTATCCTAATAGATACAAGTAATTCATACTATGAGTATCGATGATGAAGCTCTTTTAGATACCGTCTGGCTTTGTAATAGGTATAATCAATAATTTTATTCAGATATAAAACAAATACAAAAATATTCTTTCTTATACCGGTTAATTCAAGTGAAACGCTAAATGGCAACATCAATTATTGTCATTGTAAATATATTAAAATAAAACGCAAAATAACATATTATTTCTACAGTGTTTTAAATAACACGAAACATTTCACTAAGAGAATGACTTGTGCGTAAATTCGGAGCCGTGAGACTTCTTGTTACTTTTGTATCAATACTATTACCACGCAAAGGTATTCGAGGTGGTTGTGGTGGAATTGGTTGTTGTTGTTGATTAAACAGTGGCTGACCAAAAGGCATTTGTTGTGAGACTTGAGGTGGGAGTACGGATGGTGGTTGAGGTGGAAGTTGTTGTGCTGCCAGCTGTTTAGATGGTATTTGATTATAGGGAATGGGTGCTTGAAGTTCAATTCTATCGATGGTTTCACGCATTGATTGCGTAGGAGCCACTTGTAACGGTTGTGTACGAAATAACCATTGACCTTCGGCAATATTTTTTTCCACTATTGTCATTGCTAGAAAGGGTACTCGTCGAGCTATATCAAATAATTTTTCTGGCTGAAGTTTACCACCTGATAAATGTCGAGTTAAACCTTCGAGACTTGGCGCATGAGCAACAATTAGAACTGTTCCACCTGACATTTGATGACGGTCCGTAATTGTATCCATAATGGTACGACACCGTTCATAATAGTCCAACTGACTATCGTGGGGACGCATAAACGGCATTAGTGCTTGATATTTCATGTCGATATTATAACCATTAGCTGCGAGTTCATCTTTGGTCATAAAACATAGTGTGCGTTTAAAATCATTTAAATAACATTCGAATAAACCTGGTTCCTAAACAAATAAACTATTTGTAGTAGAAAAAGATTATCATATCAAATCATATGCTGTGGCTATGTCATCTTCTTTCAAGTAAATGTGTAAATAGTAAATTTCTATCTATCCCATTTTAATGTCTAATTTTTCTCACATTCGTTTGTGCATATACAAAAGTGAAAGTTGAAAAATCTAAACTATTCTTTTGTTTCGCCATCATTATTTTTAAAAGTCATTATGATAAATTACGTGCAAATATGTTGATAGCTGTTTTAAACAAATCAGATTACTTACTAGCTGCATTGGTACTCCTTTTCTACCCATCCCAGATAAAATGCCTTCAGCACTTTGTACGCATCTTAATGACGGCGATACATAACAAATATCGGCCGCATAACCATTCAGAAAGAGCGCTTTTCCCGTTTTAAATGCATGCATTCGTCCACGATTTGTCAACGGTACATCAATAACATAATGATGAAGATAGGAACGATTAGGTAGTGCATCTGGAAGATGTTCACTAAACCGAATGTAACGCCCATTTCGATCGAAACTTTTTTTTGACCAATCTGAACCAAGAACAGCATCGGCCCGTTCAGCATGACGAATGATGACAATTCGAAATGGACGATAAGGCGAAGAAATTGGAAGTGGTATGGATGAAATGGGTGTTTCTCTTGTCTTTGTTGGAGTGGCAGTTATTTTACGATTTGGTGGTTGTTTAGAAGCGGTAATGTTTGTTGAAGGAATATTATTTCCAAATCCATTGTTTGTCATCGATTGTGAGGAACCAGGATGCTAAATAGCAAGAATTTTCATCGAAAAAATTGATAAAAGTAAAACTTTATCTATAGAAAACATGGTATATAGTATTTCTCTCCTGACATCAGCTACAGTTGCAAAGAATGATTCAAGATAACTGGCAAAAAACACTTTTTGATTCTTCTAAATGCCATAGAGATGTAATTTGACCTTGGTAGTAGTTTTCGGGATATTTACATTGGTTCAAAAATAATTTTTAGAATATCATCATTAAGATTAGCATTCAGTTACCTGTATTAAATTAGGATAAACCCGTTCACGATCACGTTCCATCAGTTTCATTAGTTCAAATTCAAAATTATCTTGAGTACCAGGTACCATCAAGGATGATGGACGACGACTACCAGAATAATGCGCCATTTATCAATCTAAAAGAAACACTTTGATGAGTGTTGATCGATTATGTCTAAAAAAAACTTCATTTATAATCTTTAATTAGTGACTGAATTGATGAGTATTTATTTACTATTATCTAAAATTCTCTTCACTAAAAGAGGGAATGGGTTGAATCAGCGAGTAGGTTGAATCGGTATATTTAACAAAATAAGAAGAAAAAAAAAGTGAGTGGTAGTAAAATTTTCAGCATTCTTTGATACGGATGATGGACTTCGTTAAAAGGATATTGAGGTAGTTCTATCCAGTTACGAAGACCTAATAAGAGTAAAGATGATCGTATGAAGGTCATGTTTATGCATAAAATTCTGTACAAAAATGTAAAGTATATTTCTAGACATTTTTTTGTATGTGAATATTAATTCTATGTCTTCATCGTTTTAAGCTATATAGCTTTTGACAAGTAGGACATCAGCTGAGTATTAGCTTTAAAAAAAGAGTCATAATTATCTTCGAACCTGGTCGACTAAATGTTTACAAACATTTTATCTAACAGAAAATACGCTCATCCTCTCGTTCTTTGATTGTGATAAAGGATACTGATATACGTAGACATGCACCGAGTAACTGATCAAGGAATTTATGTTTTTTCCAATACCTGGCATTTCGTAAATTGCTTCGTTAAAAATTTTCTAACTCGGTAAGAACATTTCTCTAAAAAATGAGAGGTTGGACAGCTCTGTATGATTTATTTTGAGATTTCGGCAGCAATAGCACAATAACACATAATCGAGTAGTAAATGAGTATCGATTAGTCTCTTATGGAGATATCACTGCCAAAATCTCAAAAAAAAATCGTACAGAGCTGTCCATCCTCTCATTTTTTTGAGAAATGTTTGCTCTACATTCTTACCGAGTTAGAAAATTTTTAACGAAGCAATTTACGAAACGCCGGGTATTGGAAAAAATATAAAAGCCTTGGTCAATTACTCGGTGCATGTCTAGATATACGACATGCTTCCTTCTCAAAAAAGCAGAAATTTCGATCATGTCTATTCTATTCTCAGAGAAAGATAATGGTATAGTGAATGTCCTAGAAGCGAATAAGTAAACAGTATTTCATTTGAATTACCATACCCGAATGTATTTAAATTTCCTATAATCTAAACTTACTATCAAAACTTATCTGTGGTTAAATTATTATTTTTATATTGGAATATACGAGTGCACTTTACGTATATGCAACTGTAGACTATTGCGGTAATCTATAAAATCGACGATATATAATGACAGTTACCTGTTTACGTTTTTTTATCCTAATTTTTCTTATTTCGATTTTTGTTATATCGATAATATAGTATATAAATGCTTTAAATAAAGAGAAAGCAAATCCGTGGAAAATTTATTGATGTATCTTTTAATCTTACTTGTTTTTACCAAACAAATGAGAATACATCACACATTTTTTCATTGCATTTTGTCTAAACATTACTTATTATTATTATTCTCAATCATGTCACTATTTCTAAGCCGTTGACTTTATCCATAACGTAATACATTCTTTCCATGTTTTTCATCTTCAACCATATGATCAGAAGACAAGTACTACTTCAATCTCATATTTAAATTTAAGACCTTGATTATTGTATAGACAATAAACATATATAAAAATGTGTACGTTGAAATAAATTCAGTAATCAAGTAAAAGACGTTAGGAAATGAAGGCTCATGTATGTCTTTGAGAAAAAATTCGTTTAACGTGAAGGTCGATTATGGACGAGTCATTTGCTAAGGATAGTGATGAGTCAAGGACACATGGATCATTTTTATCTCCCTATAATATTATCTGATTTTGTTGGTTAGCCCTCAAGAAAAGGCTTTTGATCGTTTACTCAAGTATTCAATTATCTGCCAAGATTAGATATTCTAGATGATTTCGAAAAGAAAACAAGTATATTTGGTAAAACGAAATTTTCTATAACTTAATATAGTTTTTGTATCTGACAGATTCTGTTGATTACAGTACTACAACATTTCAAGTGAAGTCTAAGACGATGATATTTAGATCATCATACAGCGTACAGTATTTTTCAGTACGTTTTTTTTTGTCTACCATGTATTATGTAATAGTACCTTCGGCTATCACCTAACATTTATGATTTTTTTTGTATCCTCAAACACAATTCTTCACTTTATTTTGACACATATTGAAGCACCCACACAAAAATTACATTAATCGAAAAATACATGTTTATATCTGAATATAAAAATAGAGGAGAAAAAACAAAATAAAAATAATGAACAAATGTAAGTGTAATTTATCACCGGGTCAGAAAAATCTACTAATAAAAACATAAACAATAACATAAATATATGATCACTAGACTAAAACATAAAGTATTATTACAAAAAATATATATAAGTAACATTCTTCTAGTTAGAACATCTGAATTTAGTAATTATTATGTAATTGTCTATATTTAGTTAGAAATTCTTTTGTTGAAACATTCGGAACAAGTTGTTCAATAAATGCATCTAATAATGTGTACAAAAAATGTCTAAATAATAGAAAATTGATGTTATTGATGTATAGAAAATTTTTCTTATTTAAATACTTGTTTAATTGTTCATAACTTAAACATTGTAATAAATTAATAATAATGCGACGAATATGATCTGAACCAAATAATTGTCGAATTATTACTAAAATAAAATAAATAATTGAAATGATTGAATTAGATCTAATTTCCTAACTTACCAGGTATTTTATTAAAGCATACATTGTAAGCAATACGTTTACTATTTTTTAATGGTATCGATGGTGTCTCGTCTTCTGGCCACAAGACATTTGTACGTAGATTTTTCATATATAATAATAAATATTCTGGTGATGATAGCTCATTAACCATGTCAGTGAGAAATCTATAAGATTTGTGTATAATTTGACTATTCATCAAAAATAAGTTTCTTCAAGTACAAAAATTAACGTACCGCTCAACAAATTTACCAAAAATCGTATATATTATATTATGAACAGATTCAAGTCCAATAACACCTTCACGCGAATGTAAACTGGTGTAAATCAAATCCAAAAATGCATCGGTTAATGATAGTTTTGATTCTATTCGTAAAAAGAAAACATCTAGATTAACTTTTTTAACATGCATATACTTGCCATGCTCATGTTTTTCCAATTCTACTATTGTTCCTTCGATGTTTGCACTGAATGTTTGAAGAAATTGTTCTTCTACTGTGTCCGACACAGAATAAAATAATGAAAAGGGATTTTTGAATGTATATTGTTGAATAAATGCTTTGGTTTGTTGTTCGATAACTGAACGCTATAACAAGATACATACGAAGCATGCAAAACAAACATTGAGTAGTATTCGTCGATTATAATCACAAACCTACTGAAGAATAATCTAACAACAACTGAAACTGAAATGTCTCCCGAGGTATTAATTCCTTTTTTGGGATTAAATTATTGAATTTTGATGGTATTTTTTCAAACATGCCTGAAAGTGTTCGAAGAAGAACCTATAAAATATGAGAAAGAATAAAAAATAACACTAAAACAAGAAATCAAAGTATGCTCTTACTTTATCGACACGAGGTACAGTCAATGTTGGACTTAACATTGGCCCATATGTCAGATTTGGATCGGTATTGTACGATAAAAATTCTAATACATCATGCGAACAATTAAGTATGGAATCGGATATGATTTTCTACAAAACAAATATATTCTCTCTAATGATGGTTCGTTTTGTCCTTTTGCGATTCACCTCACATGTCGTGAATTTTTCGGGAAAACCGACGGTTAATAATATAAAAATAAACCAGAAAAACGGTCGGTTGGCCCTGTCGCTCTTACTGCTGTGTTGCCCTAGCTTTAGCTGGAATAACCGTGGTTAACCGTCGGTTTTTTTGAAAAATAGACGACATGAGGCACGTTTTCACCTATATTCTACGGATAAGTAGGAACTGTTATTCTAAAAATTCAAGAGAATTTGTGATCGTATGTCCTGGTTGCCGAGATGTAGATAAAATGCAATTTTTATAGGCGGCGCGACTCTAGTGTCAACTTTTCAAATATGTCAGCGAAGTATCTGTTTGAAAGGATAAAATTTTTAACAAGGATGACTCTGTGAATTATTTCGTAAGTAACTAGAGTCACTCTCATTTGGTAAGTGGACCGAGACGAAAAGAATGTGCTTATTTCGTGCACTTTTTCGTTTTTGAGCAACGCAAATTCACTGGATGAAAGTTTTGCGTTTGAATCAAAATAAAATAACATTTCATTCCTGTTTTGGGTTTTTTCGGACAAGCTACGATTACCGAGATTTCCACTGTCCTACGTGAAGGAGAGTGCTATTTTTGTGAAAATCTCGGTAATCGTTACTTGTTCGAAAAAACCGAAAAAAGGAAATGAAATGTTATTTTATTTTGGTTCAAACTCAAAACTTTCATCCAGTGAATTTGAGTTTGTTGCTCAAAAAAGGAAAAAGTGCACGAAATAAGCACATTTTTTTCCATCTCAGTCTACGTACCAATTAATTCAACCTGAAAATGGTTCCTCGAAAGCCAAACAAATTCAATTAAGTGAATATGTCACCTGTAAATATTCTTCAAGTAATATTCGTCTACGAGAAATAATCTCTTGAGTCATGTTGCCAACTGGTAAGGCAAAACCATCGTTTGGTCCATTTAGAGCTAGAATAAAATACTTCTCGATAATTATAAGCTCATCATGACAGAAAATGTGTCTAAATTCGCACCAGATGCATGACGAACTGTAATAGGATTATTCAGTAAACGATTATGAAGATGACGAAATTCTCGATATCGTCGTCGAACAGTATAACGTTGAGTTGTAGCGGGAACAAAAGGAGATTTGGTTTCACACTAAATAAGAAAAAATAATTTTAAAATAAATACTTAGTATCATAGAAAACTCAGTCACTGACATGAATAACATAAATCGTATATGGGGCTCCTGATATTGAGTCATAAGCTCTCTCACAAGAGACAAGATCGGCAGAATAGATAATATGTTCACAAGATAAAGGACGATGATTTTCCAGAGCATGTGTTTTAATGTCCATTGTTGTACTATTTGTCGTCTGTTCGTCAATACTTTGAAATAATTCGTTATTATCCTCCGATGGACATTCATCATTCGAATTTTCTTCGTGTTTTGGTTTCACTTTAGATTTTACTTCTAATTGTTGTTCATCTAATTTGTCTTCGTTTGTGCCCCATAATATTATGATCAAATGATATAACATTTGTGGTTTAGATAATGTATCAATAACCGGCAAAAATATCGAATTAACTAAGATTTGCCTTATAAATTCTTTACATGCTAAACTAGAATATGCATAGAATGTGTCTGGTAGATATTGCGTAAATAATAATTCAACAATTCCTCTTAAATATCTATACTCATCATCACGTCGTCTAATGGCTGAATGAAAACCGATGTTATGTTCGAACTGATCTTCTATTGATAAAATTTGTTGATGATGCCGATTTGTTTTTCTTTGTACACGATAAGCATCGAGTGTTTTTAAATAATTGTTCATATGGTGCTGTTGTAAACGAAATAAATGTGTTGTTAATTCAATTGCATTAAGTTGTTTCAAACGTTCAATAATACTATTAGACATAGTAGATATTAGCAGATGTAAATCGTATGGAAAATCTTGTTGTGTACTTATTAATGGATAATACCACACGTTAACATAACGTTCGATTATTGTACGAATATATGAATCATATTCTTTTCCTAATAAACTATTCGATAGAGAATGATTTAAATCAACATACTTCATTGTTAATATTGTAGATGGTGAGAAACTGTCATCGATAGTCTAAAAAAATTCTCTCATGTTGAATAAAGAAAAACGTTTTTTACTGTATCTGATCCAATATTAATTAGAAAAAAATTTCTTATTAAGAAAACTGATAAAAATAACCAGATGTGCAGTCTTAAGAGAGAATCCATGAATATACCAAAGATACCTTCCACCTCCTCAATTTCAAAATTCGTTTTTGATCACAGATTCTAAGATATGCCTACATAGGTCAATAGTCGAAATACTTGGCCAATATAATGATTTTCACCTATCTTAGTGCTTTAAACACTCCTTTAGTCATTTCTCTGCCATAATGAACAATTATGTATTTTTCAAAAACATACCACTGGATAGCCCTTGAAATTCTCTACAGAGTGAGCTGGTCAGAATATCCACACAGGTGGGACCAGTCATTAAAGATATGGAAAAGAAGCGTTTGGGTGCTATCTATGCTGTACAATATGTCATAATCACAAGAACTCCTTTGTTTTTGACTTTTTAGTAAAAGCTGGAACCAATCTGAATACTGTTTTGAATAGTCCGAAGACTCTTCTATCAGATGAGGTGCATATCGCCGTTTCATGGGAAAAGTTGATAATAGGGTTTCTGAAAAACTTGACCGCTGGAAAATCAAGTCCTTGGTTTTTGGTTAGCAAACTCTGCAAACCATACCGCCTGATAGAGCATGGAACTCTGAGGAAAATAAGATATCTCCTGGCTATCTATAATGCTTTTTCATCGGAATGGTTTGGTAATTTTCACGCCCTTTGTAGCCATTCGTAAATCGTCTGCAGTTGTGTGAAAAAACATTATAGATAGCCAGGAGATATCTTATTTTCCTCAGAATTCCATGCTCTATCAGGCGATATGGTTTGCAGAGTTTGCTAACCAAAAACCAAGGACT